AATAAAACAACACACATTCTAAACAGTTCAGCACCATGGATAGCAATCGCATCATTTCAACACACAACTCAAAGTCTGCATCAGTAGCAATAAATGTAGGTAAAACAGGTCCACGTGTCCATCAACACAATTGTAAGTAGGCTAATTTTAGGCGATCTGTGAACTTGTCTACGATGCTCTGTATGTCAACTTTCTTTGCTCTCCCATTCTGTATGAGCAACACAGCAAGTCCAACTAGTCTCTCTTGTACCACTGTGCTCCTCAAGTGGTTTTTAATCAGTTTTAAATTGGAGAATGAGCACTCAGAGGTTGCAACAGTAATGGGAAGGGTCAAAAATAAAAGGAGGGCTGTGCAAACCTCACTGAATTTAGACGTTACTGCTGGGTTGTTGACAAAGATCATTTTTGCCAGATATGCAACAGATTTTTGCTTTGTTATCTGCTCCCTGAAAGGGGTTCTCAGACAAAGCAGCTGCTGGGAGCTATGTCCCGACTGTGGTGCTCACTAAGCCATCAGGCAGCTTGGTGTGACTCCACTTGTCTTGCTTACAGCAGAATGTTGGGTTGAATTGCCTCAAACAAAATCACAGTTCCATTTTAGCTGGTGAATCTTTGGGACAGTTGCTTGATCATCAAGGTAGGCACTGAAAACATTGAACCAAAAGTTGCAGTCTGCTTCAGTGAGGTGACTGTCTTCTGAAAGTTCATCAAAAGTGAAGCTTAACTTTCTGGCCCTGGGTTAGGGACCAGAAAATCGAGAGCTTTGCTGTCCAGCTCAGCTCTCTCGTCACTACGACAGATCGGTACAACAGCCGCATCACCGTAGATGCAGCACCAATCCGCCTGTCGACCTCGTGCTCCATCTTTCCCTCACTCGTGAACAAGACCCAGAGACACTTAAACTCCTCCACTTGAGGCAGGACCTCATCCTTGACCTGGAGAAGGCATTCTACCCTTTTCTGACTCAAGACCATGGTCTGGGATTTAGAGGAGCCGATTCTAATCCCAGCTGCTTCTCACTCGGCTTTGAACCACTCCAGCGAGAGCCCGAGATCACGCTCTGATGAAGCCAGCAGGACGACAACATCAGAATCGGTGATAAAAGACTGCTTTAGCAGAGTCCAACTCTGGAGGCTCAGGAGTGTGATCCCCTGTAGTTGCAACACATCCTGCGGCCCCCCTTTTTGAATAGGGGGACCACCACCCCGGTCTGCCAATCCAGTGGAACCGCTCCCGATATCGCCTCCCCCAGAACATTTGAGAAGTTCTGTTGGAGGTGGTAATTGAAACTTCTTCTGACAGGAGACTCCGCTAAACGTTCCCTGCAGACCCTCACAATACGTCAGCACCTGCCAGGTCTGACCGGCATCCTCCCCCACCATTGAAGCCAAGTCACCACCAGGTAGTGGTCAGTTGACAGCTCCGCCCATCTCTTCACCCCAGTGTCCAAGACATTTGGCTGCAGATCAGATGGCATGACAACAAAGTTGATCATCAAGCTGCGGCCTGAGGTATCCTGGTGCCAAGAGCACATATGGACACCTTTATGTCTGAACATGGTGTTCATTATGGACAAACACAGATGTCCAATAACAAAACACCGCTCAACTTCAGATCAGGGACCACACCTAGGACCCGTTTGCCATGGGCCAGAGGCATAAAAACTCAGACAACCTAACTCCTAGCATCACTGGGGCACTCAAACCCCTCCACCACAATAGGGAGCCTACATTTTCTCCTTTCCAGTCGGCTCATGGGTCCCCGGAAGAATGAAAAAAAAAAAGAAGAATGCGAGTCAACGGGGCTAAAAACGCTATTTTCTAATCTGCTCTGCCTTATGCCCTGGATCACACATATTAGAGCCTAATGATCTATCGTTTTTAGACCAAAATTGCGATTTCAAACAGCACGATCACGTGACCATCAAAGCTGTGGTTTTTGCGGTTTTTACTGACCCAGGATCAGTTGTGTTACTTTTTTTTTTTACATTCGGGGGTTTCCCCCTGTATTATGGTGGCGGCAAAAGCAATCTAAATGAAAAGTAATGATGTGTGTTTCGACAGCACCAGTCACATACTTTGAGATTTATCAGCTTGTAAAAGTTTGTGATTAGCATGACTACAAATCAGACGTTGGTACGTCGCATATGTGACATCACCACAGAATCTCCTCCCCCCTAGCATAGCTGCTACTTACCACACAGTGAGATTGGTAAGCTCAGTGGCCTAGTGGTAGAGTGTCCGCCCGGAGACTGGGTGATCAGGGTTCAATTCCTGGTCGGGTCATACCAAAGACTTTGAAAAAAAATGGGACCCAATGCCTCACTATTTGACACTCAGCAATAAGGGGTTGGATTGGGGGGTTAAACCACCAAATGGTTCCTGAGCGCAGCTGTGTCTGCAGCTCACCGCTCCCCCAGGGGATGGGTCAAATGCGGAGAACAAATTTCGCACACACTTCAGTGTGTGTGACAGCTAATGGGACTTTAACTTTATGGTGGATTTGAAGTTTGCTGAACTTACGACCATTTTCCTTCTGTTTTTCTCCGTGTCTGGTTCGATGACGTCACTTTGGCGATGCGCATTTGTAGTCCTGGACTTATTTTCACACAAAACTTAAAGTAACATTTCTTCTAATTTAAAAATAAGCGCATTCTTGGTATGAAAATGTGTCTTTAAAATTCTCGAGCATCATATGTGAAATCCATGGCACATAACAAGCAGAATTAGGAAGTAGCGTTTTTAGCCCCGTTGACTTGCATTTTTTCATTTTGTTTTTCTGGGGACCCGTTGTTCGGAAGTAGATGGGCATGGCTTAGGATCCCAATTAGGTGGAAACCCAGGGAGGGGTTTTTCTCTGATAATTTTCTCCTCCTCATTACTAGCCTGAAATTCTGCACAGAGAATGAGTCTGGTAACTCTCCCATGCAAATAACCCCACCCCCTGAGAATTCTAACCGAGCCAATCAGCGCTGAGCAGCGTACGTCCGGTTACTCAAAGGCAGAGAGGCACACGAGAGGCGGGTCTAACCAGCTCAAAAATAACCAATCAGAATAAATGCAGAAATGCCGACTGTACCGCGTGACGCTGTAGTCTTTCAGACGTTGTCAAAAACGGCACCTGGCGATGGCGCAAACACCTTTCTTTAGAAGAAAGGCTTTTAGTGGCTCTTTTTGTTGTGGTTTTAAAGACATGTCCAAGAGGAATGAGCCGTGGTGAACTCCACTTCAAACGTCACCTTTGTTGTTCATGAGAAACTGAGCATCGCTGTGTGTGACGTACGCTGATTGGCTGTTAGAAGTATCAGGGAGTGGGGTTATATGCATGGAAGTTATCAGACTCATTGTCTGTGCAGAAATAAACAGAGGACGGGTCTGGCAAGCCAGGCTACCTCATTACTCCCAGAAGCGAGACAAATGTGAAAGAATATTTGCTTATGGCATTCTTGAACACACTGTAGAAGTTTAGGGGAGCTACATGTAGAACCTATACACCTTCGTTTATTCTACAAAAAGAACACCGAGGATCATTAATGACATTCATCACAGAGATCTCACTAATACGTTATTCATTAAATATAAAATATTGAAATTTCATGAATTGGTAGATTGGATGATAATGCAAGCAAGTATGCTACCGACTAATATTCAGAAAACGTTTCTAGAGAGAGTGAGTGGTTATATGTTGAAAGGCCTGATCTTTTTAAAATACCTAGATTTAGAACCAAACTGAAGGGCTGCAGTATTTCTGTGCACGGTGTAAGATTATGGAATAACCTTAACAAGGACATAATCAGTATCACTTATCGTGTTTGGGAAACATGCCAAAGCAAGTTGAAAAGGTAAACTAAACAAAGCTCTATGATTAAATCTAGAAAATTGGAAAGTATTTTAGATAAAAATTGTGTTCTGTTCCTTCTCATTCAAAATTGTATGGTGTTACGTACGTCCCTTTTTTTTAAATGAAATACGTATACTCCGTTGTTTTTTATTGTTTTGTTTATTATTTTGAATGAAATAGAAGTCAAACAAAAAAAAAAGAGAAAAGAAACACTACGCTCCTCTTTTTTCTCACTGGTCAGGGATATTGTGACAAGTGTTTTATAATGTCTTCATATCATTGCCTTAATGCAAAAAGCGCATCATGTCGAGATGACCAGCGAGTGGGAAAGAGGAGCACAGTCCGTTTGATACTGTGACCAAAAAAAGTTGTACAGGTTCTCTACAGCAGGGGCGGGGAACCCTGGTCCATCAAGGGCCACTATCCAGCATATTTTAGTTTCAACCCTGCTTCAACACACCTGATTTCAATCACCAGAGGATTAACAGGTTTCTGCAGAGCTTGATGAGCTGCTGAGCAGGTGAATCAACCACGGAATCAGAAGTGTTGGAGCAAAGACGTGCAGGACACCGGCCCTTGAGGACCAGAGGTCCCCACACCTGCTCTGCAGTATCACAGAACTGCTTCATTCTAGAGACATATGTAGCAGAGTCGCTGAGAGTGTTAGGTAAGTACATTTGACAGATACATGCAAACATTTACAAACTCCTTCAGATCCTGGAATGTAGAAGACTGGAGCTTTTTAAAGGTGTCAGATATCCAATCTGAACTTTGCTGCATTAGACAAAACCTTTCATTAAATGACATGTACTCTATTCCCTTTGGAAAACTACAGACCATGTCAGATAATAACTATTTTATACATTTTTATTTTGCATCCCCCCCCCCCCCCCCACACACACACACACACACACTGTGGAGTGAAACATCCTTACAACACACCTTTAATGTGTATTTAACCAGTCAAACACAACTTGTTATGACCTCAGAATTATTACAAGAGCATCAAGGTGTCATTATGAAAGCAGCATCACGTTACCTTGTGCACACGTCACTCCAGTGTGTGTATTTGGAGTGTACTGCGCCTTTAAGAGGTGGGCGTGGCTCCGCTACTACGACCCGCCTGCTAATGTTAAACAGTTCTTCCCTCCTGGACCACATTAGTGCAGCGGTCGCTACAGAAAAGTGACCACGGCTGAAGGGTGTGCGTGAGCTGTGACGCGCGCCGTTATGTGACTGTTTAATATCATCCTGAATCAATTTAATAGAAATAATAAAACATCCGAGCGCAGACGCAGGAGAGAATAGTTCTGCGCGTTTTACACTCGGGATTGGCGCACAGCGGGTCCATGAGGACCCGGACGGGGTTTCTACTCTCAGCACCAGGTAAAACTCTTCATTTTATTCTGTTTCACGGGAACTTTTTCCTTGTTGGTTTTGACGCACAGACTCGAGGGGAGAATGGCGCACGGAGGTGATAAAGTTTCAGGATTTCGCTGCTTAATTAACTGATGGCGCAGCTGTGCGCCTTCAGAGCCTGATGCGGCGCTCGTGATTTTGCACATTGTTAAAAAAATTTAATCTAAGCTAATCAATTATTTTCTGATCAGTCACTCAAACCTACTGATCCTACTGGACCTCTCTTATGTAATGAAGCTGCGTTGCGAAACTTCTCAGCTGAACCGCAGGAGAGGAGACTCCTGACCTGGAGGCATTTAATCACTTTCACCAGTCTGAACCTCTTGAACATGTCCCAGTGCTTAGATGATTACTGACACGATGCAGATACCCAACTGATCCCGCCGCGCTTTTCTCCACAGACGGAGGCAACAGGGAGTGATTCACCCCCATCCCCTCTACCGCCGCCCCGCCTGCCTGCAGTCTCCATGCCGGGCATCAGCTCCGCCGCGCCTCGTCATGAAAACTGGGACATTATGGACCACCTCGACCACTACCAGCATTATTTCTACGACGACCACGACCTGGATGAGGATTTCTTCAAGTCTACTGCGCCCAGCGAGGACATATGGAAGAAATTCGAGCTGGTCCCGACCCCGCCCATGTCCCCCATCCGGGCGGTGGAGGGCTCGGCCAAGGTCGGACTCCTGTGTCCCACTCTCGGAGACAAGCTGGAGTGGGTGTCCCAGTTCCTGGGTCAGGAGGACGAGCAGCAGCATCCGCAGGAGGTGCCGTGTAAGCTGGCCACCGGCAGCGACTCCTTCGGTAACCTGAGCTCCATCATCATCCAGGACTGCATGTGGAGTTGCTTCTCCGCCGGACAGCAGCTGGAGCGGGTCGTAGGGGAGCGCTGCGCGCCATGTCCCGGGACCGGAGCGGCCGCTAAAGTCACCGCCGCGACCGGATTCACGTCCCCGGGAAGGTCGCAGGGGGTCCCGGCTGACTCGGGCTTGGCTACGGACTGCGTGGACCCGGCTGCGGTGCTCACTTTCCCATTACCAGGTGGATGCAAGAAGCAAGTGTCCTCCGGTTCCGAGTCCCACACAGACTCCTCAGGTCAGTACCAGAAGGGGTGTTGGATTAAACAGTAAAGTTTGTTTTCTCGCGATATTTCAGTCTGATCCTTCAGATTTGCATAACTAATGTGCAACACGTGCACGCATTCGCGTATGTGGCTCCTGACTGCATTGCGTTACCTTTGCAACACATGCCAGCATCCAGAGTGACGCGCCCATGGGATCATCTGCTCCTCTGGCAGGACTCCAGCAGACCAGCTGCTTCAAGAATCTCAATAAAACCCTCTTTGTATTTGTTATTGACATAACTTCAATAAAAGAAAAAACTTCCTGAGTCAGTCAGAGGAAAACTATTATACTTCCCCATAAAAGTAAATAAAAAAATAAATAAACAACTTTATTTTCCACTTTCCCTTCCAAATCCCGCTTGGGATGAAGGCTACCGTGTGATGTTGAGCTTGGACCGTGCACAATGGTGAGTGTGGAATGTCACGAAGGGGAACTTGTTGCTGCATTCCTGTGCTCAACAGGCTGCAGCGCCAATTGTGTCAGTGTGTGGGTTTGATCCGAGCCAGCCGGTGCTCTGAATAGAGCAGGATTAGTCCGCTTACAGCTTTGACTAGACCTGCAGAATTCACCAACACCAACTCCAGGGGAGTGTCTGGACACATTTAAGGCTATCATGTCACCGCAGAGGGACAAGGACAATCTGTAAGGGAAATGCTTTCTGCTGCGTGGTCGTTGGGAAGGTGAGACAGCCCTGTGCAGGGCAGGTTGAAAGAGTCAGAGCTGATTATTAGCCAGCTAGTTATAACATGCTGATAGTTGCCAATTTGACACCCGAGTGCTTCTTTAACTGACCTCGGTCTGCTCTCCCTGCCCGATCCCAACTCTCATCACATGAATGAACCCAGGGAATTTCCAAAGAAGCAGATGACCTAAAGCGGTGACAATTCAGAGCAGGTGTGTGTGTGTGTGTGTGTGTGTGTGTGTGAAGATCAGGTTTTCTCCAGAATTCGTGAGAAGCTCATTTTCACCATGTTGTCATAAGAAAGGGAAGGACCACAATCAGTCATGGTGGGTGACTGTTTACTTGCATTTGAAAAAGCTAAAGTTTTGAAGATGATAGTAAAACTCTATTTTACTACACATTGGTACTTTAATCTTCTTGTAGCCGCAGTTTCTCTTGCTGTTGTAGAACTTGTGGCTTTCAAGTGAAACCTCTCCGACAGCAGAACAAACCATACTAGTATTTTAGTTCAGATCTGGATGACGACCTTAGTGCATTTTTTGTGCTCAAAGGACAAAAACGTTAGAAAATTAAAGGGTTACATAAGGGTTAAAGCAGTAATGGAGTTTCCTGTGTCTCCTACTAATGGTTGATAGCAGAATTACAACTGTTGGATTACCATTGCACTAATGAGCTAATGACATGAGCCAACTGATAAGCCACAAAGTAAAAAGATCCAAACTGTTGTACCAAAAATATTACTTACAAGTACAGTAACAACAAAGCCAGGTCACCATCAGTCCGGGATTTCATAACCTCCTTTAGAAGCAGGCTCAAACGAATGTACGCCGCACAGATATCCACTCTGGTTTTAGCTCTTTTGGTGCATTCAATTTGTCCTCGGAACTCGGAAATTCTGACTTCCGAGTAGGAAAAATCAAATGAAACTCCTCCCAAAGTCAGAAACTCTGAAGAAATTTCAGAAACTTCAACATCCAAAATGGCAGCTCTCCATATCAGCAACAGTAAGGCTTGGTTGAAATGTGTTTATTTTACAAGACACAAGTATAAGAGTGTTTAAAATCAGCAACACCATCTTCGTCTTTGTCTGGGGATAATGTTTAGTCAGGGAGTGAGACACCTGTGGTTGCTATGGGGATTTTTGATGAGCCAATGACGGTAGCTTTAACATTTCTTTTTCAGCTTTGTCCTTGCACCTTTTGGAGGACTTTTATCCCAGATTCTCCAAATCCTCATGGATGTTCTTAGTTTGTTTCCATTTGACTAAATTAATCTTTTGCCGTCCGGTTCTTTTTAGATGATGACGAACAAGACGATGATGAAGAGGAGATTGATGTGGTGACGGTGGAACACAAGCAGCACCGTAAACCCCGTCGGCTGGTCGGTGCTCGTAAACCAGTGACTATAACTGTGCGAGCTGACCCCCACGACCCCGGCATGAAGCGGTTCCACATCTCCATTCATCAACAGCAGCACAACTACGCTGCTCCCTCCCCGGACACTCTTCGTGGAGTTTCCGAGCCGCCCCGGAAGAAATTTCGGCAGGAGGTTTCAGCTCCCTCCCCCCAGCCTCACCAGAACTCCCATCACAACCAACCACACTCTGGCCACGCCCCTCTGAACTTAGACAGCAGAAGGTCCCACATCACAGTGGTCGGAGTCGGGTCAGAGTCCCCAAACCACGGCATGTCTTCACCCACGTCCTCCTCCTCACCTTCGTCTCCACCCTGCTCCTCTTTCTCCTCTCACCCACCTCACAGCTCTCCCTCTAAGCCCCTCTCCCACCTGTCGAGCCCTCAGTCGTCGGACTGCGAGGACACGGACAAACGCAAGGCGCACAACTTTCTGGAGCGCAAGCGACGGAACGACCTGCGCTCACGCTTCCTGTCGCTGCGGGACGAGATCCCGGGCTTAGCGGACTGCCCCAAGACTCCTAAGGTGGCCATTCTGACTCGCGCCACCGAGTACCTGCAGCAGCTACACGCCAGCAGGCGGCAGAAGGCTCAGGAGAGGAAACAGCTGAAAGCCAAACAGCTGCAGCTGCTGCAGAGGCTGGCGCAGCTCAAACGGTCCTGAGCGACTCGATCGGCTGTCTCCCAACAGCTGAGCGGGACTAGATGAAGGAGGAAGGACGATATACTTTGAGTTGGTCATGCTGGAATAATTCACGTGGATTATTAATATCCTTTTTTTATTTGCTACTTTTGTGATTTGCACATCAGCTTCTGAGTGATTGACGAGCTGTCTTGATGGGGACGAGTTGGGGACCGGATGAAATTGCATCTCCTAAAACGTTCATGATGGTAAAGGCTTGTAAACTGTTGGATTCCCCCTTTTTAAAGCCATGTTAAATTATTTACTTACAGCAGGATGACACTAAAGCTCACTTTGAGTTGAACACATAACGGTTACTTGAAAATCTGCTAGAAGTTTGCTAACAACTGCTGCTCTGCTCAGGCCTGTCCTTTAGCTCGGCTTGCACAGCCGCGAGGTTTCTTTCACCACCTTCCTTCCCCCGACAAACCTAATCCTACGAGTGCTTGGCATAAAACACTCGCTTTAGCTTTCTCTATTCCCTCTCTGAACATCGAACCTCCCGTTTTCTTTTTCTTACCAGAAGTTGTTTCCCTTACATGAGCCTGACGTATGCAGCGATGACGTTATAACTAACATAAAAAGCATGTCTGGAGAAGATGAGGCGAAGTTTTCTGTGCCTGCGTCAAAATAACTTTTGCAGGCATTGAAATGAATGTTTTCTTGCAAATTTTCAGCAAAAATGGTATAATAACTAAAAGTATCCTTTATTCTTGTGCCATGGAGACCAGCCAAAACACGAATGTTAAAAATGCCTTTATTTACTTGTTTTTCAGCTTGTTTGAATTTAATGGAATGCCTTCAGTCAGCTATGGATGTTCTGTACATTTATTTTTCCCTTTTATAACTTGGGCTCTTGTTGTATTTTTCCAGGGCCCTGGTCTTACAACAGGCTTACAGGCTTTTCAAAGATGAATGAAAGCTTATGTTTTTGTTAAAAAAGCTTTTAAACAAAAAAAAAAAAGGTTGAAATAAACCACTTTGAACATGTTTTTTTATTCTTTTGTTTTTCTTTCTATCTGCAAAGTCCTGTTTTCTTTGTTATTCTGTCTCTGGTGTTGATTTGTACAAGTCAGAGGAGGACAAAGTTTTCTACTATATTTTCCTACAGAGTTGTGTTTCTGTGTGACAATTACAGTTTTTGTTTTGTAATAGTAGCAAGCGGGGCTTTTCTGGTGGTTGTGCGCTGAAACTTTGGTTTTCGTTCTTTCAGGAGCAGAGTTCAACGCTCCCACCTCCAGTACCTCAACCAGCTGTAGCAATCCGACTTGTGGGGGATACTCGTGAAACCTCCGTGTTTGGGACCCCAAATGGTCTTTTTATTCCGCAAGCAGGTGCCCCGGTTTTCCCAGAGGAAACGCCTGTAGCCCTGGATCCAGTACTGTAAACACCTAGTACGCCCTGTTTTATCAGCACTCAGGAAAAGTCTGGAAGCTCCTGCTCCTCTTGTGTTCAGACTCCGTTATGATTGTCCAGCTCAAAACTTCACAAACCACCAGTTAGCACGCCCAATGTTTGTTTCTTATAAATATTTATTTTGTTTGTCAGTCACTGGTCTGTGCTGCGGCAGTCATGTTAGCAGTGGATGTTGCTTTATTTGCTTGATGGTGATTTTGGAGCCTTGTCTCAGCACTTTTTGGTCTCTGTACCTCATGAGCCTTTATGTATGAAGAGTAAAGTCAAAATGAATAAATTCAGTGGTCTGATGTCGTGATTCGTCTCTTTTAATTCAAACCTTTCCATGATCCTATATTTAGGGCTTGCTTGGTATGATTATGTACACTGTGCTCACGCTGTAGACACAAATAGCCCAAATCTGACTTTTGGGCTCGTATTACATCTGTTGCAACTTTGAGCAGCCAACATTTGAATTTCTTATTTAAAAAAAAGAATTCCCATGGATTTTCCTAAATTCTATTTATTTTGGAGTTTCAAAGTGACCTCAGTCTGAGTGGTTGATGCATTCATGTGACATTTCATGTGATCTGTTCAGAAGTTGGAGCGACAGGAGGTGGGAAGTGGCTAGATTAAATGTAGATTACTATTAAACCGTGCATGGCCTGATGGATCTAGTCTGTGGAAGAACATCAGAATTGACTGACATTTGTAGCATTCTTTTTTCAATTCCCAAGCACAATGTGATGCCATTTTAGGCCCGATCCCAATGCTTGCACTGCATCTTATGGTCCTCAGAGAAGTGCACTTGGAAGTGCGCAGTAAGGCTTCAAGTGCGTGGTACACAAGTGTGCAAATAATAGCTGAATTGGGACTCAGAACGTTGCTTAACTGAATGCAATGCATCCCGGTTGCTGTTGGTGCTTTTTTTTTTCTCCAAAAGTTTTGAACAACTTTCCAACTTATTGACAAAAGTTTACATTCATTGCTTAGTCTAAGACATTCTAATATATGAATGAATGAATATTAATAGTCTTAAAAAGAACTTCCTTTTCAGAATAGGCACTTGAGTCATTGCTCTGTCCTCAAAATTCCCATGTCGCAATGGATTATGGGTAACATGCAAAGGGGCGTGGTCAATTTATTCACTTGAGGATTGGGACACCCTACGCACTCGCACCCCTGGACTGAAGTGCTTAAAGAGCAAGTCACCCCCTACAAGAAACTTACTTCACTCCCACTTCATGTTTGAAAAATGCAACAAATGCTGTTGCTTGTCAGACCGAGAGGGCGGAGCCGCTAACAAATACACACACACACACACACAGGCTCACAATGGCATTGTGACTTCATAATGTACCAGATGACATCATGGCATACCTCTTAGCCAATAGCAGTGGCAGATTTAAATTCAGAAACAGTGCAGAATTTTCCCCTGACGACGGCGCAACACTGACAGTTTTAGGCAGAATGTTTGAATTTTAACCAAGATGCACTGAACTGCCAAATTATTGACTACATGTGTCCGTAGCACGATTAGACACTCCTTTATATAGTTTATCAGCAAAAAAAATGTGATTTCGGGGTGACTTGCTCTTTAAGATTGGAAATGCGAGTATTAGTATTGGGCCTTAGTCTGTTGTTGATTAGGGTGGCCATCTTGAATTAGAATCATGTTCTCAACAAAAAAAATAATTTTAGGTAAAAGTATATTGGTTACTTTGTGAAAAACGTATGAACATTAATTAAATCTTCTGCGATATCTTGCTAAAAGACAAACAAGCTTGGCACCAATAGCTGACCAAACGGTATAGTTTGAAACATTAATCATGCAAAAATTTAGCCCGATATCCATATAACTGCTAGCCTGGAAAGTCATCCTGTACATTTAAATGTATATTTACAGTCGGAGCAAAATGTTTTGCTGCTGCAACAGTTGGTCTAGATTTCCATGCCATATAGTAGTCATTTTTTGTTTGCTAATGTTGACTAGCTGTGATGGCCATATTGAACTGTGTTGACTCCAAAAGTCAGTCCATTGTTTAAAGGGACTTTACGGAGTTTTGAATTTTTATGCTCGCGATTGCCCCCTCAGGCCAAAAGCGTAACGGCAGCTTCAATAGTAGGTTCGTGCACGAGGCGCGCATGCTGTACGTGCACACTCCTTAATGAAAATTAACAGCTGAGACAGTCCCTTGTGTGTGTGTGTGTGTGTGTGTGTGTGTGTGTGTGTGTGTTTGTGTGTGTGTGTGTGTGTGTGTGTGTGTGTGTGTGTGTGTGTGTGTGTGTGTGTGTGTGTGTGTGTGTGTGTGTTTGTGTGTGTATGTGTGTGTGTGTGTGGCCCGGAGGACAGAGGACAGGAGAACACACAGCTAATTAATTAAATAATGTGGTTCTGTACCTTTCTCTTCAGCACAGCCAACAAAGGTTTATGATGGGTCAGTCCTCCTGCATGCTAAGATCATTCCCTTCCCTTGCTTGAAAAATTGTTCCAAAATGAAAGTTGAACCCACATCTTTTTCATCTGTGAATTCAGTGCCGTTCGGCGAGTCTCAAATAAAAATTTGGGCATCTTACTGTAAAAAAAATATACCATTAATGCAAAAAAGAAACTCTAAATAAACTATGTTCACATCCAGAATTGAACCCAGGTTATCTGCATGAAAGTCCAATGTTTTACCAGGTGAGCTAAAGCACCAGTAATGTTTTAGGTGTCTGTAACATTTATATCCTGATGACAGCCGAAACAACATTCAAAGAACGGTTCGGAGGGCTATGCCTGAGCGTGAATGCGCATGAAGCAGCCTGCTCGACCCGAGGTACCCTAGAACATTAGCTGGTACCATATGATGTCACAATGCCGTTGTGAGCCTGTTTGTGTGTGTATTTGTTAGCGGCTCCACCCTCTCAGTCTGCCAGGCAACAGCATTTGTTGCATTTTTCTAACAGGAAGTGGGAGTTGAGTAAGAATCTGGTAGGGGGTGACTTGCTCTTTAAATACACCTGGTGAAAACTTAGTGCGAGTTTCTTTAAACTTAATCTAGCGGTTAAAAATATATTTAGCTAAAACAAAAACACACTCCTACAGGCAAAAACAACATGGCCAACATTTCAAATAAATAAAATAAACATCTTCCCTTTTCTTATCCAACACAATTTTTATTGATTTATTTTATTTTTTTGATGTTGCCAAGGTAACACGTCATGGTATTTTTCACCATGGCAACAAGCATCTTTCTGCAAGCTCTGCCAGTTACCATAGAAACCTTGTCCTAAAAATGATGTCATAAAGCACTTAAATTTGATTTCATTGACATGTTAAACCGAGAGATGACACTCACAACAGAAAAGCTGAAATGTTCAAATAGATATTATAGAGGACATTAAAACTGTTGCCCGGTAACAGGTCCCGCCCGTCTACGTCACTTGCACATGCGCAGTGAAGTCGATTGAGCGGCACAATGATGGCCGCTTCCAGTGTCAGTGTGCGGTGTGTCTTGCGGAGAGCTACGGTCCCGTCTTTGGTGGTGATTCTGGGGGCCACCGGTACCGGAAAGTCCAAACTGGCGATCGAGGTTGGAAAACGGCTCAAGGGAGAAATAATCAGCGCCGATTCAATGCAGGTAGGAGGAGGGTTGACGCGGAGAAACGCATAAAGAAACGCTTCAGAGTCGGATTTTCAGAATAAATGTGAATTTAGACAAACAAATAATGCGTCGGTTAAGGAAAGAAACTGAAGAGGAGCTGTAGAACCTTTCCTGGTCCGGGATAAACGATCAAACGAACCAAAATAACAAAATAGCTCTGTTTAGTCTGTGATGACAGCTAAAATCAGAGGACAAAGAATCGGGTTAAAATTAGCTACGGATGGTCGTTATGAGACCCAACCTGCAGCTGGTCATCTGCTGCAGGTTGGGTCCTAAAGTAGGAGTCAGAAAGCTGGTGATCTATGAGCTCAATACATCAGAAAAACGATTCCTAATAGAACCATTTCTAAATAAATGGCAAATAAGAATCGTAAGTGATTACATGTCAATTTATGACTCTTATTTTTAGCTGCTACATCAACAGACTAGCCCAGAAACCTAGACCGTCAGTTGCAGAAGCAGAATGGTTTTGCTCTGCACTCAAATAAACTGGAGTAACACACACAACAGACATTTAGAAGACAGTGACAGCAAAGATTTCAACCTTTAAACATCCACCCTCGTGTAAAACAGTCTGAGGTGAATCGTGATAGTCTCATCAGGGAGATAATACTGTAATAATAACGAGGAGTAACAAATAAAGCTACATCTCCTGTGTAGACCACAGGATTCTGTCAGGTGAAAGAGAGCAAACACGGCAGGACCTTACTATGCTCATTTGTTGCCGCATACAGAGAAATGGTAAATTTATTTCCATAGCACCTTTGATACTGCTACAACCCCCCCAAGGCACTTTGCAACACCAGCCATTCACCCCCATACACACACTGGTGTTAATGAGCTACATTGTAGCCACAGCTGCATTGGACACACTGACAGAGGCGAGGATGTTGTAAACCATCCCCAGCCTCCACAAGCAGGTCTGGAGGGTTAAATGTCGTGCCCAAGGACACAACGACAGCGACTGACTGAGCTCGACACGAGAGGCGATTAACAACACGTGACCAGCTACCGATCAGCAATCGTGAGCTCGCACGGACTTCTGGAGTGTTTGATGTTTTTGCTCAATACTCGTGACGGTTGAAGCGGCGCAGCGAGCGGCTGCAACCCAAAAAGTACCAGAACCCATGGACGTAATTTTCACTTTAGAAGGGGGGGGGGGGGGGGGGTGGGGGGGGGCACGGGAGGGGGGTATCTTTACAGTATGCTCTAATGGGAACCAGGCTTCAACACAAATGGTTGTTTTCTGCTTGGTCCTAGAGCTCAACCAGTGTCAATTTAATGTAGCGTAATATTGTTTTTGGATGGTAAAAAGTGAAGGGGTCAAAACTTGACTTTGGAAAAAGGGGGGGGGGGGGGATATGTCCCCCCCCCATTACATCCATGCCAGTACCGCTCACGGCGCATGCACAATCATGCATCAACACCGCTTACCCGCTATTTCCCTAATAACACATGTTGTTCGTTTTTATTTCTACACGTCTTTTACACACAATGACAAAGATTGTCAAGAAGGCGTGTTTGTTGTGTTCATGTCAAATTAAACTATCACAAAACACAGATTTACTTTCCTTATTTCGTTTTCCTCATCCAACCCCCATTAATCCCTGTGTGTCCTCCTGCAGCACTCCCGAAGGACAACAGGCAAAACAAGACAAAAAACTCTGACGTGTTGTGTAAAAACTGCTATTTTTAGCATATTTTTTAGGTCCGACGTGTTGCTACCAGACGTACAGTGTGAGCACATGACTCGTGAGATCTGCCCTGCGAGGAAGTCGTACAGTTTGAGCTGAAGCTGAGTGCTACAAGTGAAAAAGTCGCACAGTGTCCGCCCAGCTTTAGGCTACTGCCCTTGTGAACCGACTCCGGATAAGCGGATGAATATGGATGGATGGATTTTCCCTTAAGAGTCAAAGATTTGTCGCTGGTATCTGGAACCGAAGTCCAGCTCGTCACTATTTCATATCTGTGCGAAAGAAAGTGAGAGAAATGTGTGTTGACAGATTAAAAATGATAGAGGGAATCTGACATCCTCAAATGAAGAGATAAGACGCTTTGTGTGTAAGTTGTAAGGCTGCACGATATTAGGAAAACCTGTGATGTTCGATAACAATGATTAATATTGCGATATCGATATTACTTGTGATAAATGAACTAGGGCTGCACGATATTAGGAAAACCTGCGATATTCGATAACAATGATTAATATTGCGATATCGATATTACTTGTGATAAATGAACTAGGGCTGCACGATATTAGGAAAACCTGCGATGTTCGATAACAATGATTAATATTGCAATATCGATATTGTGATAAATGAACTAGGGCTGCACGATATTAGGAAAACCTGCAATATTCGATAACAATGATTAATATTGCGATATCGATATTACTTGTGATAAATGAACTAGGACTGCACGATATTAGGAAAACCTGCGATGTTCGATAACAATGATTAATATTGCGATATCGATATTGTGATAAATGAACTAGGGCTGCACGATATTAGGAAAACCTGCGGTGTTCGATAACAATGATTAATATTGCGATGACGATATTACTTGCAATAAATTAAAACTTAACTCAGGAACAAAAATAATCAAAAACAAAGTAATAAAAAAAAATCATAAAAATTAGAAAAAGCAAAAGATGTGAGGAAAGGAGCAAGAAAAGGCAATCAGTGGATCCGGGAAAAGCAGAATCAGCAGCAAGAGCAGAACTAAGCTAAGTCAGGTGTTTGCTAACCATCAAAATAAAGTGCCGTCCGCCTCAGGGGCGGCCATCTAACCTATGAGAACCCATCTAACTGGCCAAATGGGTGAAGAACTCCATTTGATTTGTTAAAAAAAACATCATGCTTCCGTTTGATTGACAGAATGCATTGTGCAAAACATTTGAGCTGACCATTCATTGCGATATTTATCTGTTATTTGCGAAATGCATATTGTGCATGCTGATATTGCGATGACGATATATTTGCGATATATTGTGCAGCCCTAAAATGAACAAATACTAAAGTATGCAGTGTTGATGTCGTCTGGCGTGTGACGTCTGCTTTGGGTTTAAAGCAAACAAAAACTAATGCATGAATTCCATTACAACATAACATTTTTATTGCAAAAATATGCAGCTGCACCTGCTACTGTATTAGCAGCTGCACCTGCTACTGTATTAGCAGCAAAACAACAAACTGCATGCATGCAGTTCCTCAGTGGCTTTAAAACATCACCTCCACCATAAAACTTTTTCTGATGCTCCAAATACAGAAAAACATCCCTTACCACGGTTATTGGAATAAGTAAAAATATCAGAAAATAAGTTTAAATGTTAAATAATAGTTAACATCACTTAAATGCAACAGCAAATTCTCTCATTGCTACTGAACCTTTTCTCCACTTATGTGGTTAGGATATAAGGCTGTTGCTGTAATTGGGAAGTGAACTGTGCTGGGCCAAACTAGGAGAATATTAAGATTTTCTGAGGGAAAGAGAAAAACAATTGTCTACCTTTCAGAAGAGGAACTGGCTAAAAACTACATGGAAAATATGTGAAAACGTTTGGTTTTAACCCCAAATTGAACAAGTTTACCTAGATCTTAAAAAGCAGCTCAGATGATGGAACTGCAACTATGATTCTGATAACAAGCTAACAAATTGAACTAAGATAACCGGCTAGCAGAGCTTCTGACTGACAGTTTATGTGCAGCAGCAAATCAACTATCCTGATTAACAAGGTTATAAAAGCTCATAAATGAAAAATCACTTTGATGTGTGGGGGAACTTTTCCAGGCCCTCTTTAGCAGGGTGGGGACTGGGAGGAGAGTGCTGTAGCCTTTTAGGCTGGAAGCTAACCGGAGCCTGGGGCTAACATCACCACCCGGTGGAACACTAGCGACATGAAGGTGGGTTGGTTCAACGGCACGTGTCGGAGTCAGCCCGGTAAAAATGATCAACGACACCGAGCGGACTCACGTTCACGTTTGAAAGCAGCGCTGAATCCAGAAACCTCAGCACAAAAGTGCGTTCGTTGCTCTGAGCCAGCATGACGAACAAGAGAACACGCGCCGCTAATGTTCGGGTGTTGCTGTCCATCCTAAGATCCACGTAGGGGGGCGGGCGTATTACATGAACGAACCCATCTGATTGGCCGCATATCAGAAGAGCTACATTTGATTGGTCAAATAATACTTCCCGCGTAAAAAACAGAGCTGGTTTACAAAAAGTTGATGTAATTGGGGCAGCAGTAGCTCAACAGGTTGAGCGGGGTTGTCCAGTTATCGGAAGGTTGCAGGTTCGATCTCGGCTCCGGACAGAGAATTCTGCTGTTGTGTCCTTGGGCAAGACACTTAACCCACCTTGCCTGCTGGTGGTGGTCGGAGGGTCCGGCGGCAGCCTCGCCTCTCATCCCCACCAGTGTGTGAATGGATGACTGATACACTGTAGTGTAAAGCGCTTTGGAGTCCTTACTCTGAGAGGCGCTATACAAGTGCGGGTCAATTATCATTTAATGTATGACACGGATGGAAATGTTGAACCAAACATTTATCGCCGTTTTTGACGTGCTTTTGCGATGGGCCTATCGCACGTCCTGTTATCCCGATGACGATCATTTATCGATAAATTGTGCAGCCCTAGTAAGTTGCAATAAAACAGAAAAAGATTTACCCAAATGTGGCACAATTGTCACAATATATTCTTTGACCTGTCCAAAAGTGCCCTTAAATGACCATATCAGTGTGACTCCAACTTTTCTGTAAGGGAACGACTATTTTCTTCACTAAATACCAACCATTTTAAAATAGAATAGTATTAAAATACCAGAATACAACACACTTTACTCATCTTTCCATTTTTTGTATTATATCCCTGCTGTAAGCAGCAGAGTCCCAAACTTATGTTTTAATTTTCAGTTCAGTTTCAAATATCCTGTATATATATATATATATATATATATATATATTATCTCACACATGTAT